CCTCCCAACCCCTGACCCCCCCGGTTTTGCCCCCTCCCCAGTTCACTACGGCCCCGACATCGCCGTGCCCCTGGACATGGACGGGGCCCAGCACTCGGGGACCTTCGTCAGCGACTTCCTCTGGGGCTTGGTGCCCACCCAGTGGAGACCCCGGAGACGCCCGGTGCTGCCCAGCGACCCCCCGGCATTTTGGGGTTTTTGGGTGCCCATTTTGCCTTGGCCCCCCCATGGTGCTGCTCCAGCCCCTGGAGGAGCTGGAAAGGGCCAGGAACAAACCCCAATGTCCTGGGGCTGTGGGGTTGGGGGTCTCAAGGGGTTTGGGGCCATTTTGGGGTTCTGGGGGTGGATTTTGGGGGGTCTGGGGGGGATTTTGGGTGCCCATTTTGCCTTGACCCCCCCACGGCGCTGCGCCGAGCCCTGCAGGAGCTGCAGCAGCAGCTGCAGCAGCTGGAGCAGGAGCAGCAGGAGGAAGAGGAGCACAGCCTTCTTCCTGACGTGTGAGTGGGCACGGAGACCCCCAAACCCACCCCGTGAGACCCCAAAAACCCCCCCTGAACCCCCCCAAACCAGCGACTTCCTCTGGGGCTTGGTGCCCACCCAGTGGAGACCCCGGAGACGCCCGGTGCTGCCCAGCGACCCCCCGGCACAGTGACCCCCCCCAAAAACCCTGGAGACCCCTCCCCATTAAAGCACAAATCTCTTTATTCCTCAATCTGGCAATCAATTAAAACCAACCCGGCCTCAAAACCTGGCAGGGAAAAGTCCTGTGAGCTTGGTGCCCACCCAGTGGGGACCCCCGGAGACCCCCGGTGCTGCCCAGTGAGCTGCTGGCACCGTGACCCCCTCCTCAAACCCTGGAGACCCCTCCCCATTAAATCCCAAATCTCTTTATTCCTCAATCTGGCAATCAATCAGCAAAATCATAAATCACAAATCTCTTTATTCCTCAATCTGGTAATCAATCAAAATCAACCCGGCCTCAAAACCTGGCAGGGAAAAGTCCTGTGAGCTTTTTTTTTTTGAGGGGGGGGGTCTCATTGGCATTGCCCCCCCCCCGCACCCCTCAATCCGCCGCCGGTGGGGGATGGGTTGGGGGGAAGATTCTGGAATTTTGGGTGCGGGGCTGCACCCGGACCCCCCCCCCGGCGGCGCCGGGGTCAGCAGGGCCCGCCCGGGGGGGGCTCCTCGTCCTCGGGGGGGGTCTCCTGGGGGTGGCAGGGCTCCATGGTGACGGCCACCCCCAGCCCGCTGCGCCCCGAGGGCATCGGGGCCACCTCGGTCCACGCGTCGGCCTCGGGGTCGTAGCACTCCACCGAGTCCAGGAAGGAGTGGCCGTCGGGGGGGATGGGTTGGGGGGAAGATTCTGGAATTTCGGGTGCGGGGCTGCACCCGGCCCCCCCCCCCGGCGGCGCCGGGGTCAGCAGGGCCCGCCCGGGGGGGGCTCCTCGTCCTCGGGGGGGGTCTCCTGGGGGTGGCAGGGCTCCATGGTGACGGCCACCCCCAGCCCGCTGCGCCCCGAGGGCATCGGGGCCACCTCGGTCCACGCGTCGGCCTCGGGGTCGTAGCACTCCACCGAGTCCAGGAAGGAGTGGCCGTCGTAGCCCCCTGCCCGGGGGGGAGAAATGGCTGGGACCCCCCCAGAAACCCCCCAAAACCCCCCTCAATGCCCCCCCAAAGCCCCCCCGAAGCCCCCTACCCAGCACGTAGATCCTGCCCCGGAAGGCCGTGGCGCCCAGGGCGCTCCGGCGGTGTCCCATGGGTGCCACGAAGCTCCAGGTGTCGGTGTCGGGCCGGAAGCGCTCGGCGCTGCTCAGCTGCTGGGTGCCATCGTAGCCCCCCATGGCGTACAGGCAGTTCCCGAGGGCACACACCCCTGGGGGACCCCCAAAATGGGAATGAGCGCCCCCAGAAACCCCCGGAGACCCCCGGAAATCCACAGAGAAAAACGGCCCAAAAACGACAAAAAATGACTCTGAAATGACCCAAAAGGAGAGAGGCCACCCCAAAATCCTGCCCTGACACAGGTCCTGAGGGGACACACCCCTGGGGGACCCCCAAAATGGGATTGAGCGCCCCCAGAAAGCCCCAGAGACCCCCCAGAAACAGAGAAAACCGGCCAAAAAATGATGGAAAAATGTCCCTAAAATGACCCAAAACCGACCCAAACCAACCCAAAAATGACCCAAAAATATCCTAAAAGCAGAGAGGCCACCCCAAAACCCTGCCCTGACACAGATCCCTCTGAGACCCCTCAAATCCCCCCCAAACTGCCCCCAAACCCCTCTGAAACCCCATCCAGGACCCTCCTGACACCCCCAATCCCACCTGGACCCCTCGCAAATGCTCCCGAACCCCTCTGAGACCCCTCCAGGACCCCCCAAATCCCTGTGAAACCCCTCTAGGACCCCCCAAACCCCTCCAGGATCCCCCAAATCCCCCCCTAAACCCCTCTGAGACCCCTCCAGGACACCCCAAACCCCCCTGAGACCCCTCCAGGACCCTCCTGACACCCCCAATCCCACCTGGACCCCTTGCAAATGCTCCTGAACCCCTCCGAGACCCCTCCATGCCCCCCCCAATCCCAAACCCCAA